TGGTTTGATGAAAAGTGAACATGCAGACCTCAGGGCGCTGCCGGTCCTTCAGCTGGTCGGAGGCACCTCGGGGCCAAGAGGATCTGATTGTGTTGTTATTGTTATTCCTGGAGTCTGAAATAAATCCAACTGTGCTTACACTTCCTGCTCAGCGAGCCCGAGAGGCTCTGAAGGACAGAACAGGCCGAGCCAAAGCTGTGTTTCAGCAGAAGCTCGTCACATCACGATCACCTCCACTGGGCGGAAACACGGATTTGGCTTTTTCGGAGTTCAAATCCAGGCTGCTTCTTTGGAAAGTTAGAAAAGTGCTCTTAATCTGAACCTGTTGATAGTCACCAGGTTTCCTTAACAGCGGGGCTCAGGTTAGCGCTACACATACTACACAAAGTGAGTTCACAGAGGAAAAGTTGGCCTTCAAACCAACTCCTCACTGGAAAAATGTCTTTTAAAAAGGGCGAAATATGAATGTAACCCTGCACGAGTCGGTGGATGCTAACAGATTAAAGGATTCGATTCTTCGAAGACTTTTTCCAGTCTGTGAGTTATTTTTCTACAATGTTGGGAACACTTTGAAAGCCCCAGAAACCCTCATTTATTGGACAAACATTTAACGCTTTCATGCATGAATTATGACAAACTCAATCAGGATTCTTTTCTTAAGTATTTTTATTCATCTTTAGGCATGAAAAAAATATTTCTTCACATGTCCACCAAGGTGAACAACACTGGCTGACCAGTGGGTGCAGAGCATGGACACATTAGTGTCCAGTGTAGTGGTTTATGTGCAAGTAAACCATCAACATGGACATAAATACAAGAAAACAGCCTTTGGACAGCTGTAGGCACCACTATGTCTGGAAGGTTAAATGCAACACTTTTGTTTTTGCTCCCATTTTTCATGAGCTGAGCTCACAAACACAAAGACCCGCGGCTCTCAGATATTGTTCACAAATCTAAGTCTGTGTGAGTGATCCCACCTCACAGGTGTGCCTCAGACCGCTCACACTAACAGGCCACTCGGACATGTGCAGTTCGATCACACAGCACAACGCCACAGATGTCCCGACCTTTGAGGGAGCTGCAGCTGCCATGAAATGAATGTTCGTTTCTCTACCACGAGCCGTCTCCAAAGGTGTTTCAGAGAACTTGGCAGTACACAGTCACAACCACAGACCACCTGTAACCCCACCAGCCCAGGACCTCCACTTCCAGCACGTTCACGTCCAGGATGGTCTGAGACCGGCCGACTGGGCAGCTGCAGCAACATTCGGTTTGCACAAACTGTCAGAAACCGTCTCAGGGAAGCTCATCTGCTCGTGTCCTCACTGAGGTCTGGACCCGACTGCAGGTCGTCGTACAACGCTCACATTTCATGGCGTCTGGCACGTTGGCGGTCTGTTCACAGATGATCCTGGTTTCACTGTTGCTGATGTCAGCGTTGTGGACCGAGTGGGGCTCTGGTATGTGCAGGCGTCTGGACATCGAACACATTGGTGGCATTTTGAATCACAGAGATCGTGACACTGATGGTTGTGTCATGTTGCAGCACGATAATGCACAGCCCATATTACAAGGATCTGGACACAATTCCTGGAAGCTGCAAACTTCCCAGTTCATGCACGGCCAGCAGACTCACCGGACACGTCACCCATCAAGCATGTTTGGGGGGAGGAGCTTACGGGGTCTGGGTATGCTGGAAGCAAGTGTGTGTGTGTGCTCGGCTTCGGAGATGCAGTCCAGACACAAAACCACCTGAAACACTCACTCTGATCATCATGACCCGTTTTCTTTAGCGTATTGAGAGGTCAAAGGTCAGCTTACAGTGAGGTCACCTCAGGCTGCAGCTGCAGTCAGGAGAGAGGGAATCACACGCTCCCCTGTCAGCTGCAGCGTTTCTATCTAATGACCATCAGCGTGATTTACGGAGGCGAGCACAGGCGACTTCCTGTTCCGACAAAAGAGCGTCTGTTACACTGAAGCGCTTCATTTCTTCTTCTGTTTGTTGTAAACGTCCCACTTAAGATGGTGAGACGTCACTTATTAAAAGGAAGCTTAATATGGCATTAATTTCAGATGTGAAGTCGAGACTCGTTTCTGTCATTTTATCAGGCACAGCTGGATAAATCCACCTTATTCACAGAGCTTCAACAAAAAGTTACAAAAATGCCTCAATTTATGTAAAAAGGTAAGAAATGAACCCAAAATCACACAAAATATTGTGGACTGAAATAAAACTTGTTGTTTATCACTGGATGGTTTGTGCTCTCTACACCAGCACAGGAGGCTAAAGCTAACAGCTCACAGAGATGATTTTATAGATCGGCTGTTATTTTTCTCTGGACTGGAGGTTCTGAAACACTCATAAATGTTCCTCTCAGGATGATGTAGCTGGCTGCTCACTGAGGTCAAAGGTCAGAGAAAACAGAACTGTGGGAAACTGAGAGCTGGCCAATCCCAAACAAGCTGGAAGTGGGGGTGTGATGTCACACACACACACACTGATGTATATGTAACGGAGGAACAAGCGGATTTCCTTCGGCAGAAGTGTGTGTGTGTGTTTATCAGCAATGGAAGATGTGCTCACGTCTTTATTTAAATAAAAGTCTCAGGAACACCAAAATAAAAGCCCTGACTTCATCATGCAGGCAGGTTGCAGTTCCTCCAATGTCCACCGGAGGCTCCAGCAGTGGAACAGTTTCCTCTCATTTTTAACTGTCACCTGTTTAAATTATATTAAGGCTCAAAGTTTGGAGGGGCGTGGCCTCCTTGACTGACAGGTGGATGGTGACACTGCTCGGCTTCACCTCAGCTAATTAGAGTCCCTGAGCTGGACCTCTGGGTCGTGATTGGCTGTTGGGACCTTCTCAGTACAGACAAAAACTCACCTGGCGTTTGGTGACCGTGCGTTCGGTGTTCCTGCTGTGGGTGATCACGATCGAGGTGGTGGGGGTGTCGGTCGTGGTTGTGAGTGTTCGTCGCCTGGTGTGATGTATGATGGTGTTTGTGGGCGTGTCCTGGCCCCGGGGTGGGCTGTGTGTCGTTGTCCTGGCTGCTTGGGTAGCTGGCATCATACAGCGTGCTGTCGGGCACTTGGTGGTCGTTCTGTTCGTGGTTCAGGTCTCCGCCCCGCTGCTGGGGCCGAGCATGAACAACTGAAACGTAAAAACAACAATCAGTGCGAGAAGCTGCAGAAAACGTACAAACTCAGACTGACGAATGTCTGAGATGATCGAGGTTAACCTAAAACACAGGAAGAGCAAACCTGGTGTGTATTCTTCTTTGGGAATACCGAACTGAAGGCAGACGGTGACGAGCCTCACTGACCTGAACTAACACA